CGTACTTATGTACTGAAAAAATAATGGCCCGCGGTCGATCCGCTCCATTCGCAGAAAGAGGCCTACTGTATAATAGGCTTTGCGTGGTAAGCCAATCAATCGGGCGAGTTTGCATGCCTTCCGGACTGCTTCCAGTCTGCTCGCCAGAATTTGACACATGATCTGCTCAAGTGGGCTCTGTCTACAGGTAGTTCTGTTGCAGCCAAAAAATATATAAACATTCTAAAATCTGCATCTTACTCATTAGCACCAAATTTGCGGAGGACTGAGATACACTGTCAATGTGTGAAAATTTGAGGGAAATCAGTCCAGTGTAGTTTTTGAGTAATGAGCCCGGAAGTACAAACACACCACGCACAGACACATAAACGTGCAAGATTGCAATACCCTTCACCTCTTCTTTAGAGAGGTGAGGGTAATAACTATCTCATCTGAAACCTTTATCGAGTGTCTTGCTGGCTGTATTATTTCTCTATTAAAACGTAAGTTGGAAACATTTGTTTTAATCATAATTTTTAGCAGCCTATTCAACAGGTCCCTAATAGGCCCTGGGCCCCTGTGCTATCATGTCACAACATCTCGAAATATGTGGCAAAGACAAGCCAAACCAGTCACTCGTCGCAAAAATCCTGTTTCAGATATAATAAGCAAAACAAACATTGGCTGCTTCTGCTTCTAGACTGAAACACATCCAGAAAGTATCATCAACATTAGTGTAATATTTAATAGCAGTTTAGGAATGATACATACAGTAAAGACTGGTTTACACTACAGCTGTCCACACTACAGCTGTCCTCACTGCAATTGAGTAAGGGAAACTGAGAAAGTGGTACTATAGTTTCAAACTCAACGGTAGATTGATTTTGTATTGGGTAATGCTTACTGTAGTTGCTGTAGCAATTTTCAGCTTGCTATATCCTGTTTAGAAATAAAATAACCTTTCAAAAATGCTCATTTTGGCATCTATGAAAGCAAAAAAGGGGCATGTAACCAAAAATCGAAAGAGCCATAACTTCAGAACTCTTTATAACTTCTGACTGAATTAAGTTAATGATGATGATGACTACGATGAGGGTAATGTTATTGAGAATTACAATATTTGAGTACTGCAGTAATTAATACAATACAAACTGGTAACTTTATAAAATTAGTTGGTCTTTTAGTTTGATTTTATTGAAGTTGTAAATACCTGAATTTTAACTATATAATCTGTTGTATGTACAGTGGTTGTGGACACATTTGTGTTATGACACATTGTTGCTGACGTAACTCTTGGATCATTTGATGTCAAATAAATAAATGTAATGAACAAATAAAATAAAAGTCAAATGTTTTATTTCTACATTTTTTCATAATTTGTTGCATTTGGATAAAACAAAACATATTGCAGTACTACAGTATAAATACATGTTGGATTTTTTAGGGGAGAAGCATGTCATGCACAACAAAGTCATTCTCTGATGCCACAATGGGAATGTACACATACCACTGAAAAGACAGTAGGTTAGATGCTGAAAATTGAAAACTGGCTATTTTTAATTTTAGGAATTATTCAAAGGTAGTGAATACTGTATGTTGTTGGTTTTCCTATCATTTTACTTCAATAACAGCAGAAATTTACAAAATTCATCAGTGGAATAACAGAAAATCAGCATTCTTCACACTGCTGCGACAGGTACTGCAACAATGACAACAGCTCTTGCTGCACAAGGCCTAGAGGTTGTATAGGCTTGTATGGCAACCGGCTCATATCAATTTGTTTGAGCTGTTTTGACCACACAACAAAACATTTTTAATACTGCGCGCGTGTAAGAAAGGCAAAAATTAATAGGTTAAGCGCGCTGCAAGGCACAGTGTTTGGGCGATTCCATTATCTGAAAAGGGTATATAAAAATGCACTTTTTTAAATGATCAACCATTAGTGAACACTATGTTAGTGAAGTTTAGCAGGTCTTTGATAAAGCAGGTACTACCATTTCTTTATCAGAAAATAAAATGCAGCAATTCCCTGGGCTGGCCGGTTTTGTTTTGTAGTTCGTCTCTTTGTATTATGTATTTTGCTTGATAATGGTAAAATAAAAGCGAAATGTAGAATAAAAATTTTTTTATTTTTTTTAATTTTAACATTCATACTATTGTTCACGAAAATACATAAAAAGTGCACAATGAAATTTAACAAAACAAAAAAAAAAATTTTTAGCACACCTCCCGTATACTTATAAATATTTGAAAAATTTTAAATTTATTTTTAATCCTCTGTTTGGGTACATTTTTGAGAACCAATTTTTCTAAGTTGTATAAAAAAAATGTTTCCACCCTCTAAACTGATCTCCCTAAAAATTATTGCAATTTGCATATAAAAAACATTTGACAAATTCTTTGATTTGATTGAGGTAGATGAAAAATAATAGCAGGGCTCGATTTAGTACTAGCCCGACGTACAATGTCTAGTAAAAACCGCTCCGGGCTAACCTATTTACTCCTCATGTTGCCCGGTTGTCTAGTGGAGAATTAGCAAGAAAAACATTTAAAAAAAAAAAAAAAAAAAAAACCGGAATTGTAATACGGTACGGCCTTCAAAAGTAAAGAAATTGAAATTAACTATAATCAGAGTACAGTTTATAATCACCACGTTACAATACACAATTTGTTGTTATGCAACATTTGGCATGTTATCTCTCTCTC